TACAGCAGTCTACACTAAACAAGAGACCTCGCAGAGATACAGAGATGTGTCCTGGTCAAGAACACTCGCTGGTTTGGTTTGGTTTTTGGTTTTTCAAGACAGGGTTTCTCTGTGTAGCCCTGGCTGTCCTGGAACACACACACTTGGGAGGCAGAAGTAAGAAGATCTCTCTGAGTTCCAAGCCAGCCTGGCATACACAGAGTTCTAGTCCAGGTTGAGAACCTGTCTCAAAAACATTTAAACAGATAAACAGAATAAAAATTTCGGGGCTGGAGAGATGGCTTGGCAGTTAGCAATATCTGCTGTCCCTGCAGGCCCACAGCCATCAGGCAGCTCACAGCCACCTGTGACTCTGGGTTCCAGAAGTTCTGACAATCTTTTGTGACCTCTTTTGGACAGCTGCACATATGTGCCGCACAAACAGAGAAGTAGGAACACACACAAATAAATAATTTTTTTTGGGGGGGAGGGCTAGAGACAGGGTTTCTCTGTGTAGCCCTGGCTGTCCTGGAACTCATGTTGTAGACCAGGCTGGCCTCAAACTCAGAGATCTGCCTGCCTCTGGCTCCCAAGTGCTGGGATTAAGGTGTGTGCCGCTGCCACCACCACCAGACTCATAAATAACATTAAAAATTGATCAGAAATAAGTGTATACAGGAATGTGCTGCTATCCTCAGCAACATAGCCAGTTCAAGGCCAGACTCGGCCACAGGGGACCCTGCCTCAAAAGAATTGTGATGGAGGAGGAACGGGGCCGAATGGTACCCACCTTCCACCTGCACAGCCGCCAGCCAGACTGCAACACTGAGACCATCAGCGTGGAAACTGAGTGGGCCACGGTCTGGGACAGCTGCCTGAAGGAGCGGCTGTCATGTCTCTCCCCGCTCTCCTGACTGTGCACAGCAGGGCTTTCCTTGACTGTGGCCAACATGCAGGGTTCGAGGAGCCCTAGGCTCACGTCCAGGTCAGAGACCTTGGGCTCTTTGTGGACCTTGTCCAGCTTTTTAACGTCCAGGTCCGAGGGGACCTTCTCTGCTCCTTTCAGTGGATGCTTCTGGGGTTCGTACACGCTTGGCTTGGCTCTGTGTTTCCAGAACTGGAGCTACAAAATAAGACACGGGGCAGGCTAGTAGAGCCATGCGTGACAGCTCCTGCCATGTAGGCCTGACAGCCTGAGGCAGGTCCTCGGCTGCTACGACAGAAGAAGAAAACCAGCTCCCAAAAGTTGTCTGTGTCACGTAATGTGGGTTCCCCTACACATACACATAACAAAAATAACAATAATAGAAATAAGGCCCAGGGTGGGGGAGCATGCAGGAGACACTGAAGCTAGGGGTGGCTTTCCCCACACCCTTCCCCAGCCATCTTAAACCCTCACTTCCTGCTCCGTCAGGACCGAGGAGGGTTGTTCAGCTCGATGTCATGACCCAGAACAACTCCCACCGCAGGGCCACGTCGTGTCCGTGAACTCACCCAACTAGTCATCTTTCGCCAGATTTGCCTAACCCATGTCAAGAACCGAGTGGCCATGGTCCTCACCCTGCACACCACAAGTCCGAAGCAGGCACAGCGCCAGCCTCGGGGCACGGAAGGGAAAAGGCTGCAGGGCAGCAGCCACCACCTGAGAGGGCCCTCGGGTAGGAAGGCGCTTCAGGAACAGTGTCTAAGGCAGAAATAACAAAGCCAAAGGGGGTGTGACCCCCAGTGACTCATGCCAGGCCCTTCCTCCCCTCCCTGGGGCAGGGAGAGGAGTCAAAGTGGATGAGAACGTGGAGTGAAGCAGGATTCTAGATCATTGTGAGAGCTGTCTGGCCCCACCCCCCCCCCCCCCCATGACCTTCCAAGCTTTTCAGAGCCAATCACTGATGGCCTTGTCCCCTTCTGGCCCAATATCCAGAATAACAAAATCGACACTGATCAAGAGCTGAGACAGTCAGGCATTCTCCCTGGATTTTACTAGGAAAATTGTTAAAACACTGCCTTAAGGTAAGTGTTCTGGAGAGTGAACTAAAACTCATTAAAAGGTGTAATGTCACACCTTTAATCCCAACACTTTGGGAGGCAGAGGCAGGCGGACCACTGTGGATCACTGTGAGTTTGGGGCCAGCCTGGTCTGCAAAGCGAGTCCAGGACAGCCAGGGCTACACAGAGAAACCCTGTCTCAAAATATTAAAAAAAAAAAAAAATATTATAGAAACTGCATTTGAAGGGGCTGGAGAGATGGCTCAGCCATTAAGAGACTGCTCCTCCAGGGGACCTGGGCTCTAACGCCAGCACCCACATGGCCGTTTACAAGCGTCTCTAACTGCTGTTCCAGAGGCTCCAGCGCCCTCTTCTGGCCTCTCGAGTACTATGAACCCACACGGTGCAGTCATCCGTGCAGGCAAAACACCCAGCACATAAAACTAAAAGGAAGTTAACTGGACTCGAACTAGGCATGGTGGCATATGCCTAGAGTCCTAGCGCTTGGGAGGTGAGGCAGGAAGATCAGGAGTCGGAAGCCAGCCTCAGCCAGTAAGGGAAATGGCTCCTGTGAAGGGTTTGCCGCACGAGTGAAGACTGGGTGTGGTCCTCAGCGCCCTCCTGTGGTGCGCGTCTGCACTACTAATGGAAGTGGAGACAGAGGTCCCCGGGGCTTGCTGGGCAGCAAGAGAGGCCTGCTCGAAAGACACTGTGGGCCGGGCACGGTGGCGCACGCCTGTGATCCCAGCACTCAGGAGGTGGAGGCGGGGGTCTCTGTGAGTTCGAGGCCAGCCTGGTCTGCAGAGTGAGTCCCGGACAGCCAGGGCCACACAGAGAAACGCTGTCACGAAAAAAGAAAAGCAAAAACTGTGGAAGTAGTGATCAAAGAAGACGCCCAATAACGTGGGCTCCATGTGCAATGTACACACACTTACACGCGTGACCGCACAGACACAAACCAAAGGCAGCCTTGGCCAGATAGGGAGGTCCAGGCCGTCATGGGTTAGATGACCCCCATCACAACAACAGGCTGGGGTAAAGGCTGACTATAAAGCCTAGTGATCCGAGCCCGGATCCCCAGAACTACAGACACAGCAGCGCCCACGTGTGCGTCGCCGGTGCTCCAACAAGGGAGTGAGAGGCGGAGAGGCAGGGCAGCCGGCCTGGCATCCAGAGCAACGAACAAGAAGTGAGACGCCGTCTCAAACAAGGTCAAAGGTGAAGGCTGACACCCCAGCTTGTCCTCCGGTCTGTGTGGGCCAGGGCACACGGTGAACACACACCACCACCACCAGACAAGGGCCAAAGCCCAGCATGGCGATCCCGGCACACAGGAAGACCAGGCACTCAAGATCCTTCCCGGCAGTACGTTAGCAGCCAGGCTGGTTTCATGACACCCCAGGCCCCAAGAAGATCCGGGCCCAGTCTGGACTTGGCTCTAGAGCTCCTTCCTCCCTGATGCCCAGGGGTTAGGTTCTCCCGAGGCTCCCACTGCCACTGCCTTTCCCCGAGAGATGGGGACGGCTGTCCATCTGTCCGGGAGAGAAGCCCAGGCTGGGAGGGAGGAGCGAGCTCAGCCCTGGACCTCGCACAGCCAGGGGTGGGGTAGAAGCCACGGCGGCTTGCCAGGCCTGGCGAGGGCACCATGTGCCCAAGGAGCCTGGCCCACAGCCAGCCCTGAGACAAGGGGCCCATTCAGGGTTCCCGGCCCTGCCTCCCAGCAGCCCGCAGATCCAGCCCACAGGAGGGGACTCACTGGGAAGCTGGGGGTGGATCCTCTCACTCTCCAAAGACCTCATTGTTATCCCCACCCCCTCACACCGCCAACCACTGGCACGTGGGTAGACACTGCCCCTACCTCTTTCCTTAGGCCAGCCTGCCAGGCCCTTCCAGGGACGAGGACCAGGTCCAGCCTTCCCCACGGACATGGACATAGTATCTTCAGGGATAGTGTGTGTGCGCGCGCAACACCACACCAACCTCCATATTCAAGTTTCTTCAGATTTTTTTTAATTATAATTATTATTTTAATAACAACTTGAATCCCAGAAGTTGACGATACTGTCCATACACCCTCCCCTGGGCAGAGGAGAGGGGGCACTTGGAAGGAGCACAGTGGGGTGGGGCTGGGGCCTGCCGGGGAACCTCCAAACCTTTCCAGGCCAGCTACTGCTGGGAGGTCCCCAGAAGACTGACACCTAGGGAAGGAGGTGGATGAGGGGCTCCAGAGAAGCACCCCTCCCAGGTGTTCTCTCTCCCCGGAAGGCCCCAGGACTCTGGGACACCAGGTGGGACGGGACAGGCCAAAACTGAGCCTTCGACTCCCATCTCCGGGCACTGGGGTTGGGTGCGGGCATTAAAGCTAATAGGAGGAGGGGCAGGCCGCTGGCACAGGCCCAGCAGCCGGTGGCAGCCCCCCCAAAGGCACATTGTGAGGGAAAGGAGGCTCAGATGGAAGGCCCATTGGGTGCAGAGGGCCCAAGCCGCGGGAGCCCCGAGGACGGCAGCTGGGCCAGCTGCTCTGGGCTGGCCAGGGCGCGCAGCAGCCCGTTCTCCTGCTCCAGCGCCGCGTTGCGCTCGGCCAGGTCTCGGATCTGCTCCTTCAGCACCTCCACCTCTTCTCGCACGGCAAACATGAGGTGGGACTTCACCAAGTCCTGAGGCCCGGGAGCAAACAGGCCGTCAGCGCTCCCACTGCGCCTCCTGACCCGGAGCAGTCAGGAGGAAACCCTGCCCCTTTGCCCAGAGCGGACAGCGGAGAAAGGATGAGCAGGGCCCGGAGAGGACAGGCTCCCGGTAGGGATGGAGCAGAGCTTATGGGAAGCCAAAGGATGAAGCGGAGACGGAGGGCAAGAGCGACTGCAGCTTGCATTTCTACGTAACGGGAGAGGACAGACGCACAGATGGACTGCTTGAGGGGCCACCCTGTCTTTTCTTACCATGGCTTGTTCAATCTTGTTGTCAATGCCAACCAGGCTTCCGGAACCACTGGAGAGACACGGAAAAGAACAGGTTGAGGAGGTCCCCCAGGTCAGCTCCGCCTTCCGGGTGCTCCCTGCTCTAGGACCTGGCCTATGCCCGCCCCACCCCTCAGTACCTGTGACAGTACAGGATCAGAGGGAGGAGGCTTTTGTCCATCCCCGGGCGGGGTGAAGGTTGCTGCCCGGGGGCCCCCAGGCCCTGGTGGGGAGCAGGGCCCGATGCTCCTCGGATGGGGGATGACCCCCGTGGGGAGCTCGGGGAAGATGCACAGACCCTTTTCCGGGGTGCTCCTGGCACCATCCCTACCGCTCGCGTCTCGTAAGACGACACCAGGGACTTCACAGAGACCCCTGGCTGGGACATCCCTGAGGGAAGGGTCATCAGAACCCACTCCCGAGCAAAGGGCTGTGTCAGATGGGGCGCCTGGGGCTCGAGCCCCCAGGCAGCGTGGGGTTCTGTGGATGCCAGGCAGGCAGAGAGGAGACAGGACCTACCCCGTGCTGGCCTGGGAGATATTCAGGCCTGCCCTCCCCCTCAGGGCAAGGCGCAGCTGCTATTGGTCCCTTGGGGACATGCGGACCCCCTCCCTTGGCTCCACAGTGGGCGGGAATTCCCAGACACACATGGTCTGTGCCAGTGTCCCCTTCTCACCCTGGCACCACTCCCAGACTGGAGGGGAAGGGGAGGTGAAGTCAGCTGGTGGACGGGCAGAGGAGGGGCCTGGGGGCGAGAAGGCTGGCATGGGGAGGGGCTTGAAGGTGAGACCCAGGGGGCCTGCCCAAGACCTACGCCTTCCTCTCCGCCCCATCCAATCAACGTGGCCTCCCTCAACTCTGAGAAAGGGACCAGACAAGGGGCCTGGGTGGAAATGTATACATTTTAGGTGGCTCCTGCAACCCGGGAGAGAGGGGACCCCACTTCAGGGAAGGAGAGAATTAATGGTTACCCCGGCAACAGAAACACCCAGCCCCACTCCTGTGCTGGGAGCCCTGTAAATCAGCGGCAGCCTGTATGCAATGAGACCCGGACGGGTCTTATGAAAATGCAAAACAACAACAAACACAAACCAGGTGAGGCTAGACATAGACACTGGACAGAGGCAGGGACCAGCCAGCCCCTTGTTAAAGGGCAGCCTGGCTGCAGTTTCTCCATTGGCCACCAGAGGGCAACTCAGGCCCGGCTCAATGCCCCAAGGCCCATGCTCTCAACTGCCACCAGGAGTCTGGTCCTTGCTCAAGCCCCTCTGCGCACCCAGGACTTTCTAGGGTCTCCTTGCCCTGCCGCAGCCCCCAATAACCTCTGTCTGGCCATCTGAGCTGGGAGGTGGGTTCTTGTTTCAGTTCCCCAAGCCTCCCTTCTGCTTCCTCCAGGACATGGGGGTCTCCAGCCCGTCCCCTCCCAGAGTCAGGGTGCCACTTTGCTGCATTCATGTATGCTGGCTCTTCCGTACTTCCTCCCCACCAGCTGCCAGCTCCAACCTGCTTCCCTACAGGGGCATCTATACCGGGTCCAAGGTGACCCTCGAATGGGGCCCTGGCGTC